CGCTGCGTCATATATCGAACTCCCACTGGCTATCTATTTTGCATATGGCAACGGATATGTTTCAATGCTATTCTCTCACATCATCCCACCCTCTCCTTCCCCCACTGTGTCCAAAATGTCTGTGTCTCCTTTGCGGCCCTGCAAATAAGGACCATCAGTGCTCTTTCTTGACTCCGTATGTATGCATTAATATACAGTATTTGTCTTTCTCTTTCCACCTTACTTCTTTCTGTATAACAGGCTCTAGCTTCATCCATCTCATTAGAACTGACTCAAATTGGTTCCTTTTTATAGCTGAGTAATATTTCATTGTGTATACATACCACAACTTCCTTATCCATTCATCTGTCGATGGACATCCAAGTTGCTTCCATATCCTAGCTATTGTAAACAGCTCTGCAATGAACACAGGGGTGCATGTGTCTTTTTCAATTCTGGTTATCTCAGGTGTACCACCAATTTTGACTGTAGCCTTTTCCAGAGACCTCCTCTCCCCAAAAGAGTCCCCTGAGACTCTCTCATCAGGCCCCCGACTCAGCCTGTCTTACCACACTGTCACCTTGACCATGACCCTCTTCCCCTGCTATGAGCTCCTACAAGGACCACAAGGCCAGTCTGCTTGTCTTTATTTCCCCATCATTCTATGTTGAGCCCATGTCTGGGCTCCAAAAGTGACTGTTAGAATGAATGAAATTGGCTCATGTGCTCTGCCGTATTGTGGGAATTCACACTGTGAGTCCGCAGAGGGATGGGATTCAGAAGGAATGAAACGGGTTTCCCCTTCCTCATCCCCTCCTTCTCCCTCTCTCCTTCTTGTTCCCCATTTCATACTGAGAGGAAACAGCATCAGTTCTCAGACTCAGGCAAGCAACTGCCTCGAATCCAACCTCTCATGAGCTCCACAAAGCATTTGCTAGAACTATATTTGTGCAAGACCTTTTACTCTTCTTCCCCATCCCACATTACAATGACCTGTCACTGAATGCACTTTGCAAGTATCAGCTCATTTCAGGCGTACAATTTGTGTGCCAGCCCCATTCTGCAGATGGAGAAACCGAGGCTCGGAGAGGCGATGTGACTTTCCCAGCCACAAAGTCACGGAGTGGCAGGCAGGGCCAAGGTTCAAACCCAGACCTCTTAGTTTCCAGAGCTTTGGTTTCAGCCTCTCCCATCGACCTCCCTCGGCTTCCTCCTCCCCTGCCCTCCCAGCTCACACTGCTTCTCACTCACCACCTCCTTAGCTCACACTGCGTCTGAGTCACACATTCTTTGGCAGACAAGTACGGGCTGGGATGGGAGGGGATGGCCAGATGGGTGGTGAGTACAAGTCTGGGTTTGTCTTTTCATTGCTCCCAAACACCATCCTGGGGAAGCACTTGGAGGCCATGACCCCTTCTGGGCCCCTGCCAGGTTGTGGGGGTGGAGGAAAGAGCAGACCCAGGGTTCTGTCTGCACATGTGTGGCTGGAGAGACAGGGAAATCGTCTCTGGTCTGATCTTGGGGACCAGATTCAGAGTCCATCCTTTCTGTAAATGTTACAGTGGTCCAGGAACGTCAGTGCTCTTTCTTGATTCCGTATGTATGCATTAATATACAGTATTTGTCTTTCTCTTTCCACCTTACTTCTTTCTGTATAACAGGCTCTAGCTTCATCCATCTCATTAGAACTGACTCAAATTGGTTCCTTTTTATAGCTGAGTAATATTTCATTGTGTATACATACCACAACTTCCTTATCCATTCATCTGTCGATGGACATCCAAGTTGCTTCCATATCCTAGCTATTGTAAACAGCTCTGCAATGAACACAGGGGTGCATGTGTCTTTTTCAATTCTGGTTATCTCAGGTGTACCACCAATTTTGACTGTAGCCTTTTCCAGAGACCTCCTCTCCCCAAAAGAGTCCCCTGAGACTCTCTCATCAGGCCCCCGACTCAGCCTGTCTTACCACACTGTCACCTTGACCATGACCCTCTTCCCCTGCTATGAGCTCCTACAAGGACCACAAGGCCAGTCTGCTTGTCTTTATTTCCCCATCATTCTATGTTGAGCCCATGTCTGGGCTCCAAAAGTGACTGTTAGAATGAATGAAATTGGCTCATGTGCTCTGCCGTATTGTGGGAATTCACACTGTGAGTCCGCAGAGGGATGGGATTCAGAAGGAATGAAACGGGTTTCCCCTTCCTCATCCCCTCCTTCTCCCTCTCTCCTTCTTGTTCCCCATTTCATACTGAGAGGAAACAGCATCAGTTCTCAGACTCAGGCAAGCAACTGCCTCGAATCCAACCTCTCATGAGCTCCACAAAGCATTTGCTAGAACTATATTTGTGCAAGACCTTTTACTCTTCTTCCCCATCCCACATTACAATGACCTGTCACTGAATGCACTTTGCAAGTATCAGCTCATTTCAGGCGTACAATTTGTGTGCCAGCCCCATTCTGCAGATGGAGAAACCGAGGCTCGGAGAGGCGATGTGACTTTCCCAGCCACAAAGTCACGGAGTGGCAGGCAGGGCCAAGGTTCAAACCCAGACCTCTTAGTTTCCAGAGCTTTGGTTTCAGCCTCTCCCATCGACCTCCCTCGGCTTCCTCCTCCCCTGCCCTCCCAGCTCACACTGCTTCTCACTCACCACCTCCTTAGCTCACACTGCGTCTGAGTCACACATTCTTTGGCAGACAAGTACGGGCTGGGATGGGAGGGGATGGCCAGATGGGTGGTGAGTACAAGTCTGGGTTTGTCTTTTCATTGCTCCCAAACACCATCCTGGGGAAGCACTTGGAGGCCATGACCCCTTCTGGGCCCCTGCCAGGTTGTGGGGGTGGAGGAAAGAGCAGACCCAGGGTTCTGTCTGCACATGTGTGGCTGGAGAGACAGGGAAATCGTCTCTGGTCTGATCTTGGGGACCAGATTCAGAGTCCATCCTTTCTGTAAATGTTACAGTGGTCCAGGAGGGCCCTGCCTTTAAGACTCTGGGTTGCTGGGACCTGACTTTGCAGGGACTCAGAGCTGCCTTGCTGCTGTCGTTCAGTCAATAAGTCATGTCCTGCTCTTTGAGGTCCCATGAGCTGCAGCATGCCAGGCTTCCCTATCCTTCACTATCTCCTGGAGTTTGCTCAAACTCATGCCCAGTGAGTCGATGATGCCATCCAACCACCTCATCCTCTGTAGTCCCCTTCTTCTCCTGCCTTCAATCTTTCCCAGCATCAAGGTCTTTTCCAATGAGTCCATTCTTGGCACCAGGTAACCAAAGTATTGGAGCTTCAGCTTCAGCTCCAGCCCTTCCGATGAATAATCAGGGTTGATCTCCTTTAGGATTGACTGGTTCGATCTCCTTGCTGTCTAAGAACTGCCCAGCTTGGTCCAGTTTTGGAGGTGAAGCCCTGGTCTCAGAATCAGGAGTCTAGCAATCTGAGGGTGATGCTGCTACTAGCTTTGAAGGACCTTGGGAAATATTCAGCTTCTCTGAGCCTTTGTGCTTCATTTGTAAAATGGAACAGTCATTCCAGGCCTGTGCATTTCTCAGGATGGGCCACCTGCTTTGGGGAGGGCTCTGAATGGGGGAAGGAGGGATAGGGGGGTAAGAAAACGAACAGATGCTGGGGCGAGATGGCCCACACCAAGATGGTCATTCTCCTGGGCTGAAGCAGGACCGTTTCACTGAATGCCTCCTGATTGGTAGCCCAGCCCAGACCATGACTGAGAAATTATGGGGTCAAGAGAGAAAGGAAAAGAGGAGATGGGGACGAGAGGACTGGGAGGAGTGATATACTGGGGCCTGGAAGGACAGGAAAAGCTAACAGAAGCAGAGGCAGCCTGGATCCCAGATAGGGTTCTAGCCCCAGCTCTGCTCTTCACTCCTCTGTGACCATAATGAACCACAGCACCCCTCTGAGCCTCAGGTTCCCCACAAGTCAAACAATATTTTATGAACTCCTTGGTTCCATCCTTCACTTGCCTTTCAAACCCTGGCTCTATAGGTTCAGTGTCAAGAACACGTCCTTGAGCTTCCTCTCCTGCCTCCTTCTAAAATTCCACCTCTCCCCTCTGACCCAATAACCCCCAGATTAAGGGTTGACCTCCACCCTCTATGTTTTGACTTACACTGCATCACATATCACAACACAGAAGCCTCAGTTAAGTCACCTTTGGTACCTCCTGCATGCATGTGTGCTAAGTCGCTTCAGTCATGGCTGACTCTGTGGGACCCTATAGACTACAGCCTGCCAGGCTCCTCCATCCATGGGATTCTCCAGGCAAGAATACTGGAGTGGGTTGCCATGCCCAGGAGATCTTCCCAACCCCGGGATCAAACCCATGTCTTTTATGTCTCCTGCATTGGCAGGCAGGTTCTTTACCACTAGTGCCACCTGGGAAGCCCATGGCCCTTTCTACCAAGCACATATACATAGTAGTTTCTCAACAAATATTCTGCTCATGGTGCTAAATGGTCAAATGGACAGGAGGGGTGGATGCCTGAAAAGATATGCCTGCTTTGCCTGCTGATTAAGCTCCTGGTCAAAACCCCCCACCATAAAAAGGCTCTGGATTTATCCTCAGCCCCATCCTTCTTCAACAATTCAACCAAAGGAAGCAACAACTGACTGCTGCTCTTCTCCCCTGCCCATTCTCAAAGGCTCCTCCAGCGGTTACCCTTCCTTACCGGAAGATTCCAACAACATAGGCCTGGCAGTCCTAGGAGCCGGGACCCCACCACCTGCCCTTAACTACCCATCCTCCTGAATGATCATTCAATGGACAAAGGAAGCTCTGTTGAAGTATCCTAGAGGTTTTCTGCCACAGAAAATCCTGCAGAAGTCCCCATGAGCATTCCTGCAGGTCACAGATTCCAGGAGTTTTAGGCGAAGTCCCAAGAGAGACAGATGACTCTTAACAGAAAACCCAGGTTCTAGCCCCAAATTGCCATCACTTCAACCCCCCACCACCACTCTTCAAAACACACATAGGTATACACCCAGACCTCAGAGGAGCAGAATCTCACCTTGATGCTCCTCCAGTTTCCCCATGGTCTCCATCTGCTCCACCAGGTCATTTGAATTCCACTGGCTCATCCCGATAAGGATGGCATTCTTCCCTTCAGCCACCTCCTCTGTGGAAAGAAGCAGAGAGGGGCGTGAACAGGCAAGGCTGTGTAGAGGTAGCCCTAACAGGAGCTTATATCTCAAAGGAGTGTTTATTTCTTCCTATGAGTGGAAGTAGATTTCAACTATTGAAGGTGTCTGTAGTTACAGACAGGTATAAGACATGCAGAAATTTTTCATTGCAAGAATGCATTGTGTACCCTACAGGACCTCCATGTTACAGTAAAAGAAAGTAACAAAGAAACAGTTATGAGAGAGACTGAAAATTCATAGAAGGCTGCATTCCTAGCACTAAGAGTGGTATTTCTTGAAAAATAGTGTGTTTGGGAAGAAAAAGCAAAGCCCTGGAATTTCCCTGGTGGTCCAGGGGTTAAGAATCTGCCTTTCCATGCAGGGGACTCAGGTTTGATCCCTGGTCAGGGAACCAAGATCCCTCATGCTGAGGAGCAACTAAACCCACGCACCAAAACTATGGCACCCCCATGCTCTGGAGCCCGTATGCCACAGCTGGAGAGAAGACCTTGTCTCACAATGAAGACCCCACACTGTGGAATGAAAGATCCCATGTGCCGCAGGTAAGACCCAATGCAGTAAAAAATAAACACGTTAATTTTTAAAAAGAAAAGAAAAAGCAAAGCCTTGCCACTGGGTAGCAGTTTTTCTTTCAGTGAGTTACCGGACTTCTCTGAGCCCCAGTTTTCCCATCAGTAAAATGGGACTGGCAACATCTAATCATAGAGCTGCTGGGAGGATTAAAGGAGATAATGAATATAAAGGTCTTGGTGTATAGGGGGCTGTTTATAGATGGGAGATGTTAAGGACATTTCTTCACACAAGCCGGGAGTTGCCATCAGTACTTGAGCATACCAAGATTTGGGTGGGGTCGGAGCAGCTTTGGAATAACTGAGAAGGCAGCAGACTTCTGCCTCTAAGCCTTGAGCTATATGGAAACTTTAACCCACATCTCAACTTTATGAACCTCTTAATGTTTCCATCCTCCCTTTAGTCCTTCCCTCAACCCTGTCTCTACTCTTGTCCTTTCCTGGTCTGAAAGGACAGGAATTGGTGAATTAGAGGTGAATCAGAGGAATTGGTGAGGTCATATTCCCTAACCACACTGAACACCAGCCCCTGGGTCCTACACATCAACTACACACATCTAGTGCAGTCCCTCTTCTCAAAAACTGAGAAGAGGTTAATTCTTCCTCAAGAATTAACCACAGGAATGACCCCACCCTCTCTTTAAAGAGTCAAGCCTTCCTGGTAAAGAGCTTTGCACTTTTTCTCATAGAACAGACATTAAAGGGTACTGAGAAGAATCCTCAAGCTCATCGTAACCGAGAAAAAATGGGTCTAATCTGACCCATTTCACTGCCAAAGAACTTCACAGAGCAGATGGAACCAATATGGCAGATCTGAAACTTGGGGAGCTGTCCAGAGTTCTGAATCCATAATCTAGACCCCATTTCAGGCTGGAACACTCCCCCTTCCTGTCTTACTTGACATGTTTATTTGATCTATTTAATGACATTTATCAAATCTTTACTATGCTTTGAGATTGTCATGTGCTTTATAAATATTAATTCATTTCATTCTCATAACAATGCTAAAAAGATAAAATTCTTATTATCTCCATTTTATAGACAAGGAGCATGGAATAGTTCAGTAACTTGCTGAAGATCACTGGCTAGAGCCAGGATTTAAACCCAGATATACTATTTCAAGAGTCCTTAAATCCTGCCTTCCTGATGGCTCGCCCTGGACATCCTGTATTGGCAGCCCAAGTGCCACACACACCCAATTTCCTGAGCCTGGGGTGTTCCATTTGGGCATGGTTTACACCTGTGGGCTGCATTGTGTTCTGGGCAGAACTCTGACTGAGTTTCAGTCCTGAGTAGCTCCAAGTGAACCCGTGCCTTTACAGATGGTCTTCAACTGTTCCTGATTTCTTATCTCTTAAGTGGGAATAACACTCTGGTTCTACAACTCTTTCTAGCAAGCTTTCATGAGAACAAATGACATAGTAAATTTGAAAAGTCTACACAAGTCAAAATGCTGTAAGCAAATATCAGGTGGCATTAATGTTGGGGAAGCAGGAACACCGGGGTTTAAGAGTTCTATTCTGGAGTTAGATTGACTCTTTTCAATCCTGGATGCACCATCTGCTAGTGATCTGACCTTGGACAGTAACCTAGGCTTCATGAGCCTCCATTTCCTCATCCATAAAATGGTATCATGGTAATGCCCATGTCATAGGATTGTTGTGAGGACTAAATAAGATAATGAAGGTAAAGAGTCAGTAAGCATCAGTAGCACACAGTAGGAACACAGATGTGGATAAAAGCGCAGGAAGGTGAAGTACCACCCCTCTCACCATCAGAGCATGAGGTGTTCTGCCCTAACACTTAGTTTTGCTGCTGTCTGACCCTAGGTCTTTCTGTCCTAGTTCCACAGTGGAGGCATCAGGGTCAGCCCGTAACCCACCTTGAGTGCCTATGTCTCCTGGCTCAGTGACCCAATCACACAGCTGTCTGCTTGTACATTTCGTATTCATCCTATAATGAATGGATTCTTGAGCAGTGCTATATGCTATGTGAGATGTGACCTCCATCCTGGAGGAAATCAGTTTAGTGAAAAAAAAAACCACATGGGAAACTGACACAGTCAGATGAGCAAGCTGGGACTCCTGGTCTAGTGCTGGGTATACAGCAGGTGCTCACACATCCTAGCTTCCAGTTCTTCTGCCATGCATGATCCCTATCTCAGGCTGTCTGTGACACTGTCAGAACCCCAAACTTCTGAGGCTGAGCGTGCGCCATCCTTGGCATCTTTCCCCCTCTTCCTACTTACCCACCTGACCCGCCTCCATCTTTCCCTCGTGGTCTTCCGTCTGTCTTTCTAGGAAGCGCATCTCCTCTCAGATTCCCCACGGCCCTCTCCGCTTGATGTCTGGCCCTTTCCCGTGATCTATCCCTCTGGGTCCTCATGTCTCTCTGTCTCAGGCTGTCTGGCATGTGTGTCCCTTCCCTTAGGTCTCCATCATGATGGCTCTTGGCACTTGATCTGTCTTTATCCCAGAACCTCTCTCCTCTCTCTGGGGGGATGTGTCTCTTTCTCATCCTCTCTCCCTCTCTGGGTTTCTCTTTCTCTCTCTGGGTGCCTGCCCCTCAGGATCTCTCTGTCTCTGCAGGTCTCTGACCTCACTCTCTCCTTCCGGGTCACTGTCTCTCTTTCAGCTCTCTCCCGTGCTCTCTTGGTGTGTCTGTTTGTGTATCTGCGTTCGTGCGTGTGTGTGCGTGTGTGTGTCTGTGTCCTTCTCTCCCATCCTGACTGAGTCTTGCCCTCTCTCCCTCTCTGCTTTCTCATATTTTCCCTGGCTCCCTGGCACTCTCTGCACGCTGCCCCCCACAACCCATCCCTGTCTCTCCAGCAGCTCCCCCAGCTTGCAGACAAGCTCTCTCCCTCTCCAGGCCAGTCCTCTGCCCCTGCTCTCAACACTCAGCCTTAGATCTTCAGTCTGGCAACAATGGGCTTGTCCCCTGAGTGGAATAAGAAATGCATACACACATACCAACACACACACACACACACATACACGGAAATAGCAGCCAAGAAAGCTCCTTTTAGAGTCCTTTAGACAAACCAGGGAGCCATGTGCCTCAGCCCCGAGCCTCCGCTCTATTTCCCTTCATTGTAGTACAAGCTCCCAACAGAGGCCATGAGGCCACAAAGGGCTTGTTCAGACAAAATCCTGGTTATTGATTTCGCTTTTCAACTACTGATGACTGCTCCCTGCATGCCAGTTCCCAGCCCCGGTGACCTCTGGTGTGGACACGGGTTTTGTGTGTACTTCACTGCTAGTGAACCCCAGTCCCTGCCCCGTCTAGGTGCCAGGCTCAGCCTCACCCACCAGCACCACGATCCTGGCCCTGACCCCAGACTGACTCCACCCCTGGCCAGAGCCTGGATACAGCCAAGGCCTTTCTTCCCACCTTGGGGCTTCTGTGTCTGCTGGACCCTCAGGACTTCAGAGCGGGGAATCTCCTTGCCCTGTGCCAGGGTAGGCTTCACCTCCAGCTCACAGAGTCCAGGGCTCGGTCACTTCCCACCATCGGCTGGTCCAGTTCCCTCTACCACTCCTTGCCACAGACCTACATGCCAGTCTTTCCAAGGACCTAGATATGCACTGCTCTAAGGCCTCTGGGACACATGATCACTAACCTCCCCCGCTGTTGAATGTTTGCTCCAATTCCCCACCTGTAGCCATACCATCACCCTCTCTTCATCACATGGGGGTCCCCACTCAGCCCATTCCCAGAAGCCTTTGGGGCAGCTCCTTGGCATCTGCTTCTCTACTTCCCCTCCTCCAATGAAAGAGAGGGTCAGGGTCAGCACCACACCTGGGCTTTACATCTCTGGGGGCTCCTTTATCCAGCTTCTGACAGCAACATCCTCCACTCCACCCATGGGACAAACCCTGTTCCCATGCCACGCTCCAGAGGAGGGACCTGGAGCCCCAAGACTCAGGACACACCTGAGGTCAGAGAGCGGCCAGTCAGTGCCCCAACCCTGAGGAGACCCTGGCTGCTCTGAACCCAGACAACCTGTACCACTTTCCTCTGCTCCCAGAGATGCTGAGTTCTGAGTCTCCCTCCTGGACGAGGAGCAGGGGTACCCAAGGCCACCCCAGAAACATATCCAGAAGGTCCTGGGCTGGTCTGTCCTCACACAGAGCACTAAGCTGGTGCCCCCTTGCTCACTCTGGCCACATCGGCCTTCCAACTCACCGCTCCGAGAAAAGCCTTGCACTGCCGCTCCCACTGCCCAGAACACTGCCCCAGATCCCCACACAGCTCATTTCTTGTTATTCAGCTCTCAGCTCAAGGCTACATCCTCTGGGGACCTCCCACTCACTCAGTCACTCTATCACAGTCCCATATGTTATATCGGGGGGCGGGGGTGCCTCCATTTTTCTAACAGCATTTGACACTCAATAAACTACTCATATTTAAAATATACAGTTTGAGAATTCCCTGGCATTCCAGTGATTAGGACTTGATGCTTTCACTGCCAAGGGCCCAGGTTTAATCCTTGGTCAGGGAACTAAGATCCTATAAGCGGCACAGGATAACCAAAAAAAAAAAAAAAAGTACAATTTGATAAGTTTTGACATTTGTGCACACCCAGGAAGCCATCACCCCAATCAAGATAGTGGACACATATTCATCACCCTCAGAAGTTTTCTCCTATCCCTTTTGACCCCTCCTTCCCATCCCCAGGTGACCATAGATCTGCTCCTGTTGCTATAGACTTGTTTGCATTTTTCTAGAGTTTTCTCTAAATGGAACCATAGTATGCACTCTTTCTCAGCCTGACGCTTTTGCCTCCCCATGATTACTTTGAGATTCATCCACATCACTGGGTGTATCAGTTCATTCCTTTCTTATTGCCAATATTGAATACGTGGATGTATTGCCATTTGTTTATTCGTTCACCCATTGATGTACATTTGGGTTGTTCTTACTTTGAGGCCGTCATAAATAAAGCTGCTATGAACATTCAGGGACACATCTTTAGGTGGGCATATGTTTGCTTTCCTTTTGGGTAAATACCTAGGGGCGGAAAGGTACTTAATGAAGATCAAATTTTTAAGAAGCTGCAATCTGTTTTCTGAAATGGCTCTCCCATTGTACGTCCTCCCCCAGCAGAGTCTGAATGTCCCAGTTCTCCACATTCTGGTCAGTTGTCGTAATTAGCCATTTTAACAGGTATGAGGCAGTATCTCATTGTAGCTTTAGTTTGTATTTTCCTAATAACTAATGATAGTGAATATATTTTCATTTTTTCACCTTTCGTTTTTCATTCATCTACCTTCTTTGCTGATACGTCTGTTCTTTGCATTATTTTATTTATGGAACTTATCCATAGAACTCACTTGCTTCCCATCCATCATCACTAAACTGTACAGCCCAGGGAACTTCTCTGGAGTCCTATGGACTCCATGCACCCTACGCAGAGGGCATGGGTTTGACCCTCGGTTGGGAAACTTATATCCTGTGTGCCATACAGCATGACAGAAATAAATAAACAAATGAACATAAGTTCCATGGGGGCCAAGATGGGGTCTACTTGCCCTGTGTCCCCTACAGGGAATGCTGCCTGGTACTTGATGGACAGATGCTCAATAATTACTTGACAGAGGGAATGAGTGACTCTGAATTTTAGCCCCTGCTCTGCCTGACTCTTTGTGTGACCCTGACCAAGTTTCCCAGTTCTCTGGCCTCCATTTTCCAGCCTGTAAAATAGAGTGGGGGTGTTGAACTCAAAGACCTTGAGGACCCCCAGCCCTGACATGATCTGGGTTTGAGGCATGTCGCTTCTTGGCCACCATGGGTTTCCCCTCACTCTGCACTCCAACCTTGCCATGGCTCCCCAGCTCTCCTTGCTCTATCAACAGGATAGGGTATGGAACCTCTTGGGTTGGGGCACCTGGACCCCATCACCCACCCTGCAGCATCCAGTGAGAGGTACCAGCACCCCTGAGGCCCCACGCCTGCTGCCATGCAGGGAGTCAGCATCTTGCCCAGGGGTTGCTATAGACCCAGAGAGCTCCACAGTCCTGAGTGGCTGCCCACCTAGTCCCTCCCCTTCCTTACACACACAACCAGAGCCCCCCAGAGCCTAAGCGTCTCTCTTTGCTACCAGACCATGATCCATGAGGATCTGCCATCCCCCCTGGTAAACCCTAGTGCTGGACCAATGGGCTGGAGCTTGAGGGAGAAAGGGAGGGAGGAGGGCCCCGTCTTCATTAATAAGTCAAAGAAAAAGGCCTGGCCTGGACACTAAACTCCTGGTTCCAGCCCCTCTGTCCCCACCTTGATGTGTGATCTGGACAGGCCCCTTCCCTGATCTGGCCTCTGTTCCTGACAGTGTGGCTCCATCGCAAGGGGAGGTGGAACCATAGAGGCAGCAGAATGCAGGTGGAGACCGAGACCATGACCAGGTCAGGCTCAGGTCCCAGCCCGGGTTGGAGGAAAGAGGCAGGGAGGCAACCCTTCAAAGCATGCCCAGAAAGCCGGACGGACACCCACGGCTGGACCCTCGATGCTGACAGAGCTGGCCGGGTTGGCCTGAGTCAGCTCCTGGGAACAGAGAAGGAGGTTGGCTTCACCTCTTACTGCCCCGAGCCAAGGAAACATGCAGAGGCCTTGCCCGGGGACACCTCAGGGAATAGACAGGAGGTGGGGAGTTGGCAAGTCAGAACTGAAGAAGGTTCCAGCAGCCTGTGGGCGGACCGTGCAACTGAAAGCTACAGATGCTCTGGGAGAGGTGACCTAGGAAGGGGAGAGCAGAGACGTGAGGTTCAGAGTCCGGTAGGCAGTGCTGAGAGGTGGAAGTCAGGGAAAGAGGCAGGAGAGTCTGCAATCCTGGGATAGTGGAAAGAAAGATGGAGGAGGTGGGGACAGCGGGGAGGAGTTGAGATGAAGGAAGAGAAGGCGGGACCACTAGTAAAAGAGGCATGAGAAATGAGGCCAACTTGGGAGCTGCAGTCAGAGCTCGAGACAGTGGGAGCGGAGGACAGAGTGCTGAGGGTCCGCAGGGGAGGGCAGCAGGATGGAGCCACAGCCTCTCAGAGGGAAGACAGGTGTGCCGGCCGTTGGGATGGAGGTGGAGCTGACCGGCGCCTCCCGCAGATGCCTCCCGCTGTGAGCCATCCTCGTCATCTGGGAATGCAGAGCCCTGATGAACTGCAAAAATATTTTAAATGAAAGTGTTCTAAGCGTCAAAATATTGAAGCCGTTGTTGTCACACTGTGGGTTAGTTGCTATGGAGAAAGTCAGCCCCGGCTGCCACTCCAAGCAGACACCAATGGGAGACAGGAAAGAAGCCCCAAATGGGCTGGTGTGGGGCTGGCATCAGGGAGGGGACTTGGCACCCAGAGTCAAGAATGGGGAGCCTCAGGCTGGGACAACATTCCACCGCCAACCCCACTGTGATTCCTCCCCAAATCACCTGAACTGAATATAGTCTCCATTTCTGGAGGCACAGAGCCGATAGGGAAACTGAGGCCCAGGGCAGGTGACAGAGTTGCCCGACATCACAGAACAAGTCAACGGCATGTTCTGTGATGCCAAGTTCCAACTGTCTGAGACCATGTTCCAACTGTCCTGTTCTGAGCACAGAGGTCTTCCCAGCACATGCTGTGTTTCTCTTTTCAAGACCCCATTCAGCCAGGCATTTCAAAACTGGTTCTATCTCAGGAGTAAGCCAATCCCCCAAATACAGTGACTTCCCAGAGGAGAGCTGAACTGGCCAAGAAAGACTTAAGGACCCTCCTAGACTGGAGACCCTCCTAGGCTTGTGGGTCTCACCCACCCCTGGACAGTTCAGCACAGCTGGGAGGGTCCTCTCTCCTGAATTCCAGGCAGACTGCCTCCCACTGGTCCCCACACCTGCCCTGCCCATCTCCATCTCTGAGACTGTGCTCAGGTCGATCTCTTAGCCTGAAATGCCCACCCCATTTACTGCCCTCTTCTCCAATCCTTATCAGGATTTTACAAAGAGTTTTTTTGGAGGTAGACCATTTTTTTTTTTTTAAGTCTTAGTTGAATTTGTTACAGTATTGCTTCTGTTTTATGTTTTGGATTTTTTGCCAAGGCACATGGGATCTTAGTTCCCTGACCAGGGATGGAACCTGCATGCCCTGCATTGGAAGGCGAAGTCCTAACCACTGGATCACCAGGGAAGTCCCCTTTATGATGCTTCTTGTTTTTCCGTCCTCACTTACATAGTGCCCCTTGCTACATCTGGTGTGCTAGCCAACCAGCCGGCACTGAAATGCAGAGCTGATATATCCTCCCCTCCGCCATCTCTGCCCTGAACGTCTGCGATAATCCTTCTAACTCGTCTCCGTCTCCACTCCAGCTCCCCCTCCCATCTGTAGGCTGACCTTGCATGTTACCTACCAGGTCACACGTAGTCTCATCTCTCCTCTCCCCCAGCACAGAGGCCTCCTTCAGTTCCTGGAAGGCCCCATCCCTCCTGCTTCAGCACCATCATACCTGCTATGTCCTCTGCCTAAGGCTCTTTCCTCTCACTCTTCACCTAGCCAACTCTTACCCTCAGTTCTACAGAGAGGATGTTAAGGACCTCAGGCCTAAATTAGATATCCCCCTCATCACTCTATTAACATTTGATTCTTCTTATTCAGAGGCATTTTCCCCCATTTGGGGTTTTTGTTAGTATGTACATGTTTATTTGGTTTTGCCGGGTCTTAGCTGCAGCAGGCAATATCTTCGATCTTTGTTGCAGCATGCAGGATCTTTACTTGCGGCATGTGGAATCAGGTTCTCTGACCAGGGATTGAACCCGAGACCCCTGCATTGGGAGCACCAAGTCTGAGCCACTGCACCATCAGGGAAGTCCCTTATTCTCCATTTGTGATTGTATTTTCCTTGTTTGATGTTTGCCTCTCCCACCAGACCGTAAGCTTGACCAGTGCAGTGACCATGTCCGTTGGTTTACTGCAGTACCGTGAGCACCTGAAATATTTGAGCAACTCAGTAAATATCTCAAAGAATGCGTGACGGGGTGCTGAGCCCCAGCCCTGGGGGAACGTACAGATTGGGCAATTATGAAGCAAGGAACTGCAGAGTCTGAGTGGAGAGAGAGATCAACTCCCAACAGCGCCCCTTCTTGGAGTTTCTAAAAAAAAGGTCACCCAGCTATTGGTGGGAGGATGGGATTCACTCACCTCTAGCATCAAAGAATTCATCATCAGAGCTCTCCACCGAGTCGCTGAGGACATTTCGAAGGTGCCAGGGGGCACCACCGCCCGGGGGAGGGCCACCTGCCAAAGAAAACACACTTGTTAGCCAAGCTTGTGACTGTGTCCTGGCACAAAGGAGGTAGACGCAGACTGCCCCTGGACCAAGGTTTGGTCAGCATCCTGCACATCCCTGCCCTCTTGACTTCAAGTGCACTGCCCCTCACAGAGCCACCCCACTGCTGTGCTTTCATTTAAGCCCCAAACACCTCTCTGAGATGGCTCGGCAGGGCAGGAATAAGGATGCCCATTTTTACACACACCCAAACCAAGACCAGTGGCAGTTAAGAGACGTTGCCAAGGTGACACACGTATCAAGAAGCATCAAGTAAGTTTTGCTGTGTTAATAAAAGATCTTAAGACAATAACAGGTCTTCCCTGATGGTCCAGTGGTTAAGAATCCACCTTCCAGGGCAGGAGACTCAGGTTGGATCCTTGATTGGGGAACTAAGATCCCACCTGCCGTGGGGCAGCTAAGCCCACACATTACAACTACTAAGCCCACGTGCTCTGGAACCCTCATGCCACAACTAGAGAGAAGCCCTCGCGTTGCAGTGAAAGACATAACCCAAAGTAAATGAATACATAATTAAATATTAAAATAATAATAGTTCATTTCTCACTCACACACAGGTAGGAAGGGGGCTCTGGCCATGGCAATCACTCATAGCGGCCACCATATGATGCCAGCATCTCGAAAGCGGACTTCAAGGCTCTCAGAAGCAGGGGAGGAGAGGAGAGCACAGAAAGTCATGCCCAGTCGTAAACACGTCTTCTCACATGCAACACACTTCTGCGCAGGTGTCATTGGCCAAAGCAAGTCACGTGGCCATGGCCAGCTTCAAGAGGGTGGAGGAGAGAAGAAGCTGACATTCTGATGGGCAGAAGTGATGCCTGCTGCACACGTGTGCAAGCCAGGCTGGGACTGCAGCCTCCCCTGGGGAAAAAAGCCCCGAACTAAGAGAAGGGGGACCCGAGCTTGCGTTCTGCCCCGTCTCTGCTACTTGCAACCGAGCGGCCACTCCCACTCTATACTGCAGCCTCAGTGTCTCGGTCTATAAAATATCAACAACAATCAATCCCAAACTGGAAGGATCAGAAATAACGCATGCTCAGCGCCAGTATCTCGGGAGGCTCAGTGATGATGCCTGCTATTATTATTAATACCTGCAGAGGCCAGGACGTAGGCTGGGGGGTATTCCAGAGCAGACAGCAACAAGCACATGCAGAGAATGTGCCCCCAAACTCAGCCCCAACCCACCTCCTGCCCCGGGACCAGGGGGAGGAAGGCCAGAGACACAGCTGGGTCAGGAGCCTCTCTCTCTCGCCCCTCATTCTCAGAGCCTCTTTACTTGGCACTTTGGGACTCTCAGAAAACCAGCTGGCACCCGGCACATTCAGGAAGCCCTCCGACGGCTCCCAAGACACATGAAATACTGGAGACTATGGATGAATTCCAGTCTAATTGTAAACACTAAAGCCATAAAAGTGTTAGGAGAAAATTGACCTGGTAATTTTCCCGAGGAAGTAATCAGAGAAGTAGACAAAGATGGCAATAGACAGTTGATCATCTCAGTGTTCTGGTGATACCCACCAACCGGAAGAAATCCCAGTGTCCACCCACAGAGGACCAGATGTATATTCACATACAGTCACAAGGGAATTCTTTGCAGTTGGTAGAAAAATAATGTAGCTCCTTATGTATTAACATGGAAAGATACCCACAGAGTATGGTTAAGAGAAAAAAAAATGCACATGGGTCCCGGAACCATGTTTTTTTGATCCCATTTTTGAAAAATATATCCTACTTGCATACTGAGGATATGTACAGCATGTCAGTTAAGAACTCAGGGTCTGAGGATGGAAGAGGCCTAGATTCAAGCTCAGGCCCTCACCTCTTAGAGGCTATATGATGTCAGGTGAGCCTGCGCCTCAGTTTCACCAGCTATAAAGTGAGGAAAGTTCATACCTGCCCCCACGAGCTTGTTGGAAGAATGAAATAAAATACACTGAAGTACTTAGCACAGGGCCTAGCACATAGCAAGTGCTCACAACGATAATTATTATATAATTATACTTACAAATGCTCTAACATGTCTGGAAGGACAAGCCCCAAACATCAATAGGGATTACCTCTACAGAGCAAAATTTAATAAGAAGAGGCAGGGAAAACTCCATGTTTACACTACACATATAACTTCATATGACCATTAATTTTATAAATTCATCTTATCAGTGCTAAGATGTACATTTTTTTCCACACTTCAACAGCTTTAAAACTAGGGTGCGTCTTATGTGATGGCATGTTTTAATTTTGTTGGCATTGTTTATTCTTTCTTGGGGTATAGAAAATAGTGATGCATCTTACAATTGATTGCATCATAATTCAATGGAAGACAGTAAAATCACCCTGCACACAGGGTTTATCTTCCTCTGTTCAGCCCTGGCCATCTAGTACCTGTGGCTTCTTGCATCAGCAATGCCCCTACTTCGGTTCCCTCATCTGTGCAATAAGCAACCTGACAGAGACTTTCCCCTGAAACTTTTCAACTTCGACTGATGCTTGAGGAGCTGATCTGGCACACAGTAGACGTAAATGAACCAGTGAGAGGTGGCATTCCCCCAGCCTTGGCTAGAACACACCTCGTGACGCATTCCCCAGAAAACCTGCTGCAGCCTCAGCTCACCACACCCAGCTACCCTGCAGGATGCTGGCACCATTCCCTGCCCTGAGCCCAGATCCCAGAACATAAACTGCTCCTGAAGGGAGAGGCCAGCACAGGTCAGCCCAGGGCCCCAGCCCTCCTGCCTGTCCTTCCTGCCCCACCCACCACAAACTCCCAAACACACACCCAGCTTGAGCTTCATGGCTTGAAGCCAAGCAAAAATCACATTCTGAAACACAGAAAAGGCAGAGATCATAGGGAAAACCAGCCTGGGAGTCACTTCTGGGTGCAAATCTGGGTCTGCCCCCACACTCCCAGTGGGGACCCTCTAAGCTTTCATTCTCATCCAACAGTGTGGAGGGCATGACAGTCTGGTCAGCAATTTTCTTCCTGTGACCCCGGATTTATTGCAAGAGAGTTGGAAGAATCCAGACACCCCATAGGTGAGTATTTCTAACATGGCTATGGGACCGTTTTCCAGATGTATATGGGGGAAGTTCTGGCTAGTGATATAAGACAAGAAAAAGAAATAAAAGGTATACATATGAGAAAGGAAAAATAAAACTGCTTTTATTCTCAGATGGCATGATTGTTTATCTAGAAAACAGTAACTCTACAAAATCTACCAAAAAAAGAAACCAAAAACCCTACTGGAACTAATAATTGAGGATAGTAAGATGACAGGATAGAAAATCAAAATACAAAAGTCAGTTGCACTCCTGTATGTCAGAAATGAACAAGTGGAATTTGAAATTTGAAAAATAATACCATTTACAATAGCACCAAAATACAATAAAATAAAGAAGTGCATTAAATGTATGGGAAGATTTCTGTGGTTCAAAAAATACAATCACTTAAAATCCTTCCTGATTTTACATTAATTTTATATGTTTTCTCAATCAACAGATATTAAGGATATAAAGACTATCAGACATATGATATGAACGTGTAAATATTCCTTGCTGTCAAAATCTATTCCATTTCTAAGAAAGCAAGAATCTGGACAGTCAGGACAGTCATATTAACCTCATCTATTTGGTCCCTGAGTTTTATATGATGAGCAGCAAGAGTTTAATTAGTGCTGGGTTCATCCAAAGATATATCTGTATTGATTTGTTTCCTGAATTTAAATAATGACGGTTCGGCGAGAAGGGACTGGCTATGGTGGGCCTCCTACCCTTACAGTATCCACTTCACCCAAGAACAAAGAAGGGCAATGGGATTCCTGTCAACCTTCGCCTCCTATAGAGAGCTGGTGTAGAGCCTGAGAAAAAGAGGAGAGCTCTGGAATTTGTCCCTCCCTCACCTCCCCCACCATATCCATCCTTGCAGGCCACCATCACCTTAGGTCATCGCAACACCCACACCATGTGGTGGGCTGGACTTGGTGGGAGTCCCAGTGGGGAGAGCCTGGCAGCGGGAAGGCTGCAAGGAGCCTGGTTCAGCTCCATTTGAAGGAGATGTTCTTCCAGCTAGAGACGGGCAGAAAGGGAGTGGGGCTTTGGAGGTGTCAAAGGGAGCTGTCCATCCTGCAAGGCACTGTATTAGGTGCTGGGGATATCGAGGTGAATAAGAGGGACAGAGTGGGACCCTCCCAAAGCTTACACTCTACAAGGGGACAGAGGAGGCAGACCTAAAACAAGGAAGCAGCAATAATCCTTTCAGCAGTAGCAAGTGCTAGGAAGAAAGTAAAACCCTCCCTTCCCACCTCCACCATGCCCTTTTTCCTCAAGTGTCTCTTACAGTGTTATCATAGCCTAGAGAACAGACAGGCATGAACACGTGGATCTGTACATCCACTGAGGGATGATGACAAGGGCATTCGGCTCCACCGTCAAAAGAACTCTGTTACCTACTGAGTTATAAACACTGGACCAGTGCTGTTTCTTCCACATGAACCCTTCACCTGAGTGAGTCTCCTCTGTGGTCAATATCTACAGGTGATTTTCTCTTCAAAAGCATCTTTTATCTGGTTTAGTGCTATCCTCTTTGTTTTCAAAATGCATACCTTCACTGGTTTTTATTTTTTTTTCCATTTATTTTTATTAGTTGGAGGCTAATTACTTTACATCATTGCAGTGGTTTTTGTCATACATTGAAATGAATTAGCCATGGATTTACATGTATTCCCCATCCCGGTCCCCCCTCCCACCTCCCTCTCCACCCGATCCCTCTGGGTCTTCCCAGTGCACCAGGCCCGAGCACTTGTCTCATGCACCCAACCTGGGCTGGTGATCTGTTTCACCCTAGATAATATACATGTTTCGATGCTGTTCTCTTGAAACATCCCACCCTCGCCTTCTCCCAGAGTCCACAAGTCTGTTCTATACATCTGAGTCTCTTTTTCTGTTTTGCATA